TTTTCCAAATCTTTATGCTCTGCTTCTCGCGGCTGGGGGGGGGGGGGGGGGGGACAAGGGCAGGTGGTGGAGATGGAAGAAATGGCAGCAGAATCTATGAATCTGCTGGGAGAAGAAGACAGGTTAAGGCTGTTGGTGGAACTGTGAAAACTTTTGAATAATAGAGGCCAAGAAGTAGGTTACAGATAACTGGAAAATTCAGTATCTTACATTCACCTTTTTTCCCCCCCACTTACCATTGAGAGGGCTATACATTTCACTTAGCAATTTTTTTAAGTGTTTATAACAGTTTTATGTTTTAAATTTTAGGAATGTATTGTATTGATAGGCAGTGGCAGTTCTTTCAGGGCCACAAAAAAAGTTTTTGGTTAAACCTAATGTGTCTCTTATTTTAATTGAGAATGGTTCTATATGAAATAGTTGCTCTTTTTCTTTTTTTAAAAAGATTTAGTGTCTTAAGTTATTGCGAAGGGAGAATTGAGACAGAGAAATAAGTTTTATTCTAAAAATCTATAATTTTTTTTTTTAAGCCTAGACATAAGTGGTAGGATGAGAGGGTATTTTTGGACTTGTAACGAAAACAAGTATAATTATTAGTTTTTTAGAAGCCTCTCCTTACACCCATGGCAAAAGGTAAAGTTTTATTGCATTATGGGATCAAGAGAGAAAGGAGTGCTCTGGTTTCTTGAGTTGTGTGATTTTCACTGTGTAAAGAGGCAAAGTTCTGTGGTGTGGAACTATAGTCCAAAACAGTGCTTATGTGACTACTTAAACTTAAACTAATTAAACTTACATAAAATGGGAATTTCAGTTCCTCAGTTGCACTAGCCTCATTTCAAGTGCTCAGTAGCCACCTGTGGTTAGTGACTGCCACGTTGGATTAGACAGTGCAGACATCCAGCGTTTCCATCACTGCAGAAAGTTTTGTTGGATGGCACTGTCTAGAAGGAAGCAGCACTGTGGGTATCTGAAGTTCTGAGTTCTGACTCTGCCTTCTCCTTGCCACATAAACACATTCTCATTCTCTCTTTACTTAACTTGACTCTAGTTAGGAATCCTCCAGATTTAAGTTTGTTACTCTCCTAAAAAACTTTTTCTAAGGTTGCAGGCTCATAGTAAGTAATGCACATGGCTACAAGAATTCTCAGGAGCTCTTACAGCTGGAACTGTTTTCCAGATAACAACAGCAGCTTCAGTTGTTGTTATAAGGTGGATGTGGGCAGCCAGCAGGCATTTTATTTTCTAAAAGGAGGGGTTAAAAATGAGACATGGGCTAGTCTTGGTCCTCAAACCAAAAGTTTTCTACCACCGATCTAAGACCCTGACAAGAGCTCCCCTTGTTTACTACCTTTGTTAGTCCTTGTCCTCCCTCACAGTTAACGTTGACCTTAAAATTCCTAACTTGGAAAAATCTTGTAGTGTAGCGTCACTGCAATTGAGGTGGGATTTGAGCTTTATGCTTAGGGATAATTATGGAGCTTCATTTTTCTGTGTTGGAATTAGAGCTCTTCTTTAGGTCAAGTAAGGTAATAGGATTGGGTTTCAGATTTCAGAGGGAGATCTCAGGGGTGTCTGGGGACACCTGTAGAGACACTGTCTAATCTTGAGGGATTCATGAGGTGACCTGCAGAGGCAGAAAAACAGGAGGCCCCTTCCAGATTCCAAGGAAAGCCTATTAGGAGGTTGGGGGCAATGGTGGTATGCAGGTTCAAAAGATAATCTAGAATTTAGAGCTAGTAAAGGAGGACACCTCAGAAACCTTGTAGGGGGACACTTGTAATACGTGACAACTGACAGGACCAAGGGAAGTAATTTCTGTGCTGTGCTGTCAGTTCTTCCTATTAAATGAAGAGATGGGAAGACCTAAGTAAATGCTCTGCAGATCATTTGTGAGTGGAGATGGATTAAGTCAGTTATGGGCTAGAATCGTAAAAGATCTTGATGAGCAAGATGATAAAGTGGGAGGGAGTGGAAGAGGTTGTAAAGAGGCACAGTATATGCAGAGCATTTGTTTTGTAAACACAAAACCTGTGCTAGACCCTCTGAAAATGGGAATAATAGATATGAGGTATTTTAACAGGTGCAATTATGGCAACATTTCATGCAACTGATCCTAAAACAAGTCCATCTATTAAGTTCTTCAATTTGTTGTAGATTAGGCTGTCCCGGGTTCACACTGCCTGAGTACAAACCTAACCCGGTTGAAGGAGGAGCTTCCAAGTCTCTCTTCTTTCCAGATGAAGCGATAAACAAGCACCCCCGCTTCAGGTGAGTATGCCTTCATGTTCATGCGCAGATGCCCCTCACTCAGATCCCTGCCTTCCGAGAGTGGGATATTCCTGTGTGAGAATCCTTTTTGAGCATTTACTGAATTCTGCCTCCTTTCCTAATCAAATAGGGAAGACAGCCAACGTCTACCTGTCCATTTCCTCAGTGCCACCAAGGCTATGTGATTGTCATTTCTTGCACGTAGGCTTCGTTTGTCCGTTTTCCAAGTCAGCTTAAAGTCATTCGTTTAGCCACTGTCCTTCCCTTTAATGAGCAGATCCTTTTCAGTCCTATTCTGTAAACACCTATTTGAGGACACTATCCCTTGGTTATTCCTACCATTCCCCTGCTCTGCATGGTAGCACCAGTGTCTGTGATCTGCTCGTCTCACACTGTCATACCTTGAAAATAGGGTACAATGTGTATAGCACCTGGTGTGTATAATAGGCACTCTCTGCCTTCTTTTCTATTAACTTGTAAGTCTATGAGTTTTCAGTTTAATTCTTAGGTTTTAAGTTGCTTCAGAGCCCTCACCAGTCTGATCTTGGCTCTGTACCTTGAGTGCTCACCTATCATCCTGAGCCTAGGCTCCTGACCCAGGGTTAGGGACATTGGGACTTCTCAGTGTTCATTCCTTTAACAGGTCTGTACACCCATGTGTAAAGTCTTTTGGGAGAGACCAAGGTTTATAGACATAGTTCCCAACTTTAAATTTTGTCGTGTGTTTAAAGGAAAATAAAAACATTCAGCTGCAAGAAAAGATAGATTATGGCAGGTGTCAAAAGATGGTAACACCAGAGATTCTCCTTGGAGAAAGGAGGGTGCTTCTGACTGAAGGGATCAAAGCAAGTTTCATAGAAAAGGTGGCACTTAGGCTGAGTCTATAGCAGCATCCAGTAGAAACATAATGCAAGCCACAAATGTAATTTTGAATTTTCTAGCAGCCACGTTAAAGTAAAAAAAAAAAAACAGGTGAACTTAATTATACAATATATTTTAACCCAATATATCCAAAATGTTATCATTTCAACATGAATCAGTATTGTAAATTATCAATAAGGAAATTTTACTTTTTAGTTTTGTACTAAGTCTTCGAAATCTGGTGTGAATTTTGCTCTCTCATCATGTTGTAATTAGGACGAGCCACATTTCAAGTGCTCAGTGACCACAATGTGCATGGTAGCTTCTGGATTAGACAGCATAAGTCTGGAGGATAAATATTAATACAGCCCATAGGGGGAAGGGAGGAATGAGGTATTGGGGCTCCAGAGATGCATGGGAAAAATGAGTACTAAAGTGTGACTGAAGTCTTTAGAGTTAACAAGAGAAATGTTAGAATCATAGGGTGAAACCAGACCATGGTAGAACTCGAACATCTGAACTTCATTTGATAAGTTACAGGGAGCCGTGGAAGCAAGGGTTGAGCAGGGGAGAGAATGGCATTCTCAAGCAAGAGCCAAAGGAATTGGTATTAATGCACAATCTTCTTTCAGAAATTTCCGTGAAAGTGTATTGACATATGTACATTTTCTGTAGGGTCGTCTTAGAAAATTAGTTTGAGGTAGGATTTCATTTCATTTATTTGTATGTGACGAAATTCTTCTTTTACATGATGGGTCTTAGGTGACTGATTTACGATTTACGACACCTGGTTGTCTGTTTTAGCACCCTAACAAGAAATATCCGACATAGGAGAGGAGAAAAAGTTGTCATCAATGTACCAAGTAAGTCTACACGGAGGTGTTGGGGTGGGAGAGATACCTGTTGGATTGTTGTTTAATCCTTGACTCTCAACCATTTTTTTTTTTAATGAATACAGTATTTAAGGACAAGAATACACCATCTCCGTTTATAGAAACATTTCCTGAGGATGATGAGGCAGCAAAGGCTTCCAAACCGGATCATATTTACATGGATGCCATGGGATTTGGGATGGGCAATTGCTGTCTTCAGGTATTGTTTCAAATATACAGAGAGGCAAATGTCCTCATCCATTTCTGTTTATTAACTTCTTCATATATACATGTTTCCTGTTTTAAGAATCACATTTTAATCAGGTCGAATGCTAGCTGGTATGCCTTTCTGAAAACCAATGAAATTATTTTAGTAAATTCATTGGAAGCTATCTCCTAAGAATTCCATAGAATCTACAGTTCTCCACAAAGGAAAATGGTTGTTAATTAACTTAAAATGCGGAATGTTCCATGGTCAGCTGTCATTTTCTTTCCATATGCCTGATTTTTAACACTATCTAGTGACTGGCTAGTAAGGTTGTTAAACATCACTCAAGTCTCTTACTATTTCTGAAAGTGAGCTCTCATGGAAGTATTCCAATGAGACTTTAAATTTTTGAATTCATGCAAAGCCATTTAGTGGTATAAGAAGAATAAATACTGTATTTAGCAGTCACGTTTGCCTTGCCCCTGGTTTAAATAATGCAGGAGGCAAAATAGCTTTTCTGTATTTACTCATTTAAAAATATTCTCAGATCTGATTAAATTATTGGTGCCCTTGGCGCAGTGGGTATTCCCAAGCTCATGTAGAACCTGAGCAAGAGAGCACAGGAACCCATCAGGAGGCTTGTAGGCCTGCGATCAGGTTTTGACTGTCACTACTCAGATATTTGGACAACTCCCTTTGCTTCTTTTGGCTTAGTTCGCTCATCAGTTAAAACAAGGATTTATATAAAAGCCCCTTTTTAGGCCTGTCTCTATGCTAATATTTATTTCATTGCTTTTATCAACAGAAGTATGTGTTTTCACCCTTAATGTGAGTAAAATCTTGTCAGATCAGGAGTTAGGAGTTACACAACATACAAATTCTCAAATTAAAAATTTCAAAGTGAAAAAGAGGCTGCTCGTTATTGTCCAAGGAGATTTTATCCAGTTCTAATTACTTCAGCTGATTAGAAACAGTCCCTAGGGACCTGGAGCAGTGCAAAGCCTGGCCCCGCTAAGGCCCCAGTTAAGGCCCTCTGGGCCTCCAGCCTGGTCACTCTCACCATGGAGGCCAAGAAACCCAGCATCCCCTCAAACAGCTGCAGCACACACACAAGCATATCTTGCACATATACCTCTGATCTGCTTATTTTTAAAACTGCATACAACCCAAATTGAGTGCCAGAGTCAGATTTTTCCATGCTGAATGGCCATGGGTAATTTTTTTTTCTGTTTTCCTGACACATATAGGTAGTACAAAATGTGTGGCTTCCAAACATACATAAGGCAAATTTCCCTACAAATGGTCACACTTCATTAAAAAAAGAGACCTTTTGACTTTTAACTATGTATCTGCTTCCCTATCTTAATTACAAATATTTCTAAGGAGAACCATTAAGCTTTAGAACTTACAGTGCATGGCTTTAAAATTGTATAAATGCAGTTAGAGTACCGATTGCCTTTTCTTGGTTTAATATTAAACCAGGGTGTTCTGCCAAAGACAGCACAGTTGCTTTAATATAGTTCCAAAGGGATATTCTTTACTTTGAAACACTGTATTCATACGAATGCATGGGTCCTGGTAGTAGGTGATAAACATTTTTGTTGCCTGTAGATATAATTTTCCATTCAATTGAAGCTTTATCATGGGTTTAGGATTAAGTTTTTTTTTTTTTCCCAATGACATGCCCAGTTTCAGTACTCCACTTTAAAAAACAATAAGCAAAGATATTGTGAAGTATGTGGCAAATGAGACGAATTCTACACATTGCTATAGAAATCCCTGCTTTGTATCTCTTAAGTGGAACACTAGAAGCTGCTCATTATAGTAAAGCAGAAAAATAGTTTTAAAGTAATTGTTTAAGGTTAATGGAAAGCTTACTGAACAAAACAAAAAGCATTTTAACCACATTCAAATTCTTGACTCTTTGGGGGCTTTTTAGTAATCATTTAATAAGCAGTAAGTTCATGACATGTTATGATAGGTTTTTCCCCACCTAAGAAAATCAAGTGGCATCAAAACTGGTTTCTAGGTTTCTGATTTCGGATTAGGTATTTAGGTTTCTAACATCTATTTTTCTTAGTTCCTCTTTTTTTCCCCCTCTTGTCAGTTTCCTAGTAACACTGTGTCTCTTCTTTATGTGATACTTTAAAAGAACACAAGAAGCCAAAACTGTTTGTATATTCATACCTTTTTAAGATGTAAGTGTTGTGAGGCTCCCTCCTGTAAGAATGTACTGACATGCCACTCGTGCAGAAAAGGGCAGTTTATTCACTCCAGCTGGCCAGTGACTGTCTCCCAAGGAGCAACCAGGAAAGAGTGGCATTGGGCCTTGGTCTTGTGGGGTTTTTAAAGGCAAAAACTACATCCCATTGGCACGGGTTGGTCTAGGTGCACAAAGCAAACTAGGGAGCTAGGTTACAGAAGCCAAGAATGAGCCATTAGAGCAATCAAGCATACAACTTTTCATTGTGTATGGTTCCTATTCCCATGTAATAGTTCGCTATGTATGGCTCCTGTTTCTATGCAATGGCTTTTGTTTCTACGAGAAGGTCAATGGTTTCTCGTGCAGAAGGGGGAGTAGTCTGCAGGTCAGACGGGATAAAATGCAGTTTCTTAGGTTAAGCAAGCAATTCTTACAGAAGCAGATAGCGTACATTATGAGGGTGTAGGGAGCTCTGTTTCATAAGAACTTTTTTTTCCTTTCCCAATAAACCTGTTACCCGCAGTGAGGTCCTGTTTGATTTGATGATCAAAGGACACTGTCTGACACACTTGGGATAGAGAATGGCAAGACAGATCCCTGCCCTCCTGGAGTTTACATTTTAGTGGTGGGGTCACAACAAATAAGTACATAAATACCTTGTTTACCATCTCCCGTCTCCTCTCTTCTCATTTAATCCTTATCACGCACAAACTGATTTCCAAGTTCCCACCGCTTTGCAGAAATTACCCTTGATTGGGTTATAAGTGACCTAATTGCCAATCCTTCTCAATTTTTATTTTAACCTTTGAAACTCTTATTCTTTGATGTCTGTGACACAGTTCTTCTCCATGTTGAATTAACTGAACTGGCTACTTACCATTATCTTTTAATTAAAATGTAGTGCTGACTTAAGCATCAACATAGAAGTTATAGGTAGTTCAGGACATTGATATTATCTACATAATTGTTTTCTGTAGTAAGTTGACACACTGACATGAAATGCTATTCTAATTGAGCAGGTTAACTTGTGAGTCTCCAGCAGAAGTTGTCTTCTGTTAAAAGCAAAGATAAGATCTAGCTAAAACTGTTGGACATAACAGGCTGAGATTGTAACAATAAACATATTCACTCTGCCACTATTATTTCAAGTCTTAAATACTTAAATTATTTCCTGCAGCAACACTAAATTCAAACTGTCATTATTGAATAACAATAACAAAGGAAATTAAAGTTGTTCCCAATTTGCAGTTATTAGAAATGTGCTGACACAATCACAATTTGTGTTCCTTGTGCCTTCTACTACCACCGCCGCCCACGCCCTGAAAGAAGGCAGGTGGTGTTTTTTTTTTTTCTGGTTTATTTTGGGTAATTGTTTTTTAGAGGATTTGTGCTAACCAAATAATATGACCTTTTTCTCTACCTAAATGTCCTACTTGCCCCTCTTGTGCAGGCCTCCTGGGTGGTCTTCCCATCTTCAAGTCACCTTCTGAGCTTACTCCTCAAATATTTCTTCACACAGATTTTCCTTGGGCACCAGCCCCAAAGACGCAGCCACTTACAGTTCCTCTTGTCTGTCTGTTCCCTTGGCTTCGTAAGCCCATTGAGTCATGGCACCTCTTCTCTCTAATCTCTTCTTCCTGTATGTCCAGGGAACATCCAAACCCAAACCTAAGCCACCCCCTCACTGTCTGTGTCCCACTGGTCACTGGAGCCTGCTGCTTTGACTCTGGTGTGCGTCTTCCCACCAGCCCTCCCCATCTTCTTCCTTGGCAGTCACAGTGTTTTAACTGCTTTCCCTTCTTTCTAGCCTTGCCCCCTTCCAAGCGGTTCCCAATACTGCCACCAGTAAACTTTGAAAACTATTGTTAACATCTCCAAATCTTTTTTGTTCCAAAATGCGCATAACCCCTCAGCTAACTGAAGTGATGGGAAGCTGGAGAGGGGAGTAGCTGCAGAGGAGGAAGTGCTGTGTTGGACTTCACCTATATCTTGTGTCTTACCTTTCTTTCCTGACTTCTTAATCTTATTTCATTTAGGAACATGCTTATTTATATTAGTTGTCTGTGTGTAATGGGACATGATTAAATACCATTTTCTAGTTAAATTCACACAAGACAGCACTTTTAAACACAACCTTGTGTTGCATTAAACATTGTCATCAGCGAAGTGGACATTTACCTTGCCCCCTCTCCTCTCCAGCCATCTTCCTTCTCAGACTTTACTGCGCAGGAGGAGGCTAATGATTTTTTTTTTATTGTTAATGACTTGCAATTCTTAAACAGGTGACATTCCAAGCCTGCAGCATATCTGAGGCCAGATATCTTTATGATCAGTTGGCCACGATCTGTCCAATTGTCGTAAGTAGAAATTACATCTTATTTTAAATACTTCTTTGTGTAAAATAACATTGCATGTGCAGATTTTGCTGATAGTGTGCTATTTAAGTCCAGTTAAGACTTCATTCAGAAATGAACTAATATAAATAGTATGCAGATTTAGAGCCTATGCTAAAGAAGTTTACCTTTGCTAGTAAAACATTTATGTGTTATATGTCAAGTTTGAGTGTGGCCATTTTCCCTCTCCTGTGCTTCATGTCCTCCCATTATGGAGAGGATAATTTAAATTAATCAAATTGAAGGATTTGGGTTGTTTCTGGTATGTTTCAGTATAAGAAAACAGGCACAGGTACATGTGGTAGAACTCTGAATGAATTGCATAAACTGATTCTTCTTGACCAGAAAGATAACCGCATGGAGCTTTATCTGCATGTAAATGATACTCTGAACTTGCAGACGCTGACTTTTGTTTGTTTTTAGATGGCTTTGAGTGCTGCATCTCCTTTTTACCGAGGCTATGTGTCAGATATTGATTGTCGCTGGGGAGTGATTTCTGCATCTGTAGATGATAGAACTCGGGAGGAAAGAGGACTGGAGGTGGGAATGATTTTTCCTTAATAACTCTTTAAATCAAGCAGGTAAAATGGGGTTATCGTAACTGCTTGCAATTTTGAAGTCACCCTTAGATTTTTATCCTGAATGGGGTAGTCACATATGGGAAGAAACACACAGGTTATAAACTTGTCTTTGTTTCTAGTCTTTGGCTTCATAGTGTTTGCTTTGGAGTAAATATGTGGGGAAAGTGATTTTGTTTGGGTGGGAAGTTAATTTTTATCATTTTCTAAAATCTTTGTTTTAGCTTCTTTTAAAATTAGTAGTGCCATTTTTCTGTATTTTGGAAGTCAGTGCTGATGGCCGTTTTTACCAAAAGGCATTTTGGTGCTAAATGAGTGCTTTGTATATGATGCTTTCTGCTGTGGAAAGTGTAATTTGTTGTCAAAGAGTCTTTTTCCATATAAACAGTTAGGCTTTGCCTAATAAGAGTGAGTTGGCACCTCTTGTTTGCATGTTGAACTGTAACCCTACATCTCTCCAATCAGGAGTGCATATCAGAACCACCTATGGAGATCTTTAAAAATAGACACCCAAGCCCCATCCTGGACCTCATAAATAAGAATCTCCTGGACTGTGGCCTGGACATAGGTGTCTTTAAAGACCTCCCCACAAGTTATTCTGATGTTCTGAACCAGAGCTGTACTACTACTGCTTGGGTCTTTATGTAATTATTTACAAATTGTTTTATTTTATTCATAAATTATTCATAAACATGCTTTCTAAGTAGAAACAAACTTTAAAGGATAAATCATTTTGATAGCTTTGTTTTACATTATGCGTTTATTTTTTTGCTTTCAACCTTGGCATTTATTTTCCTAGCTTAATAAGAATGAAAATTATCTGCTTTAAAAAGAAAAAAATTACATTTAAGTCATATCAGAAAAAAGGGTACTTAAGTTGCCACCCGATTTTTTTTAATATAATTTTCTCTGACACTTTTCAAGGCTCCCTAACTTTTCTCAGTATCTTATGTTGAGGTTTTTGTATGATTATTATATATAAAAATACATATCATTTGTATATTAGTTGGGGCATTAGTCTGTTTTCAGATCACTTCATAAGGCATTCATTCATATATTTTTTTTAATTTTAGCCTCTGAAGAACAATAACTATAGGATTAGTAAATCCCGATATGATTCAATAGACAGCTACTTATCTAATTGTGGTGAGAAATATAATGACATCAACTTGACGATAGATAAAGAAATCTACAAACAACTCTTACAAGAAGGTGATCATTCATTTCATTTTTCTAGGTTTGATTATATGCCTTTAGTTCTTCAAAGCTCTTTTAAACTTTTTTGCTTGACTCCTGGTCTGATTTCTATTTTTAGTGTGAAGTCTCTAACTTTTTTTATGAGGCTGCTTGTTCCTAAAGTTTCAAGTTGCAAATGCTTGTGAGATCTTCTTGAGTTTTAGCAAAAGGAACTTACTTTGGAGGTGTGTGTCTAGGTCCACACCAGTGCCCCAACAGGCATTGTGTAAGTAGTGAATTAAGCTCTGACACTTCCCCAGTGTCCATAGGATAAAATCCTGGGTGAGGTGAGAATACTGAACAAAGCAGTTGCTTCCTGAGCTTCTAGATACCCTTTTGTCAAACTTCCTGAGCTGCCCTGTCTCCTTACTGGACTTAGAGAAAGTGATGTCTCACACTTTCAAGTGTCTTCAGGTGTGTAATCTGTCTTTGCAGGCATTGATCATCTCCTGGCCCAGCATGTTGCTCATCTCTTTATTAGAGACCCACTGACTCTATTTGAAGAAAAAATACACCTGGATGACGCCAATGAGTCTGACCATTTTGAGGTATCTCTTCTGTTTTAAATGCATTTCGCTTCATTAACTAAGACGGAGGCAGCTTTCTGTCCCTGTGAGAAATTAGTAGTGACAGTAAAAATCTCATACACCTTTCATTACCCAGTGCAGTAAAGAATTAAGAAAAATTGAAAATAGATTTAAAGTACTCTTATTTTATGATTCTTACTGTTTATATCTTTGATTCTAACTTCTTTGTTCAGTATTTTCTCTTGTTTGCCTAGTGGTGAAAAATCCAAAGTATGCTGCACAAAAAATAACGTAATCAGTTATCTCAGTGCTGCAGATATATCGCCTAACTTCTGTTAAACACTTGCTGTTTTCTTTCCTAGCAGCTCACACCCCAAGAAAATCTTAAATTTTACTTTTTCGTATTTGTAAATTGAAGAATATTTGACATGGACAGTGAACAATCTTCTCTAATTACATCCAAATCATTTTACTATTTTCCTGGACATGCAGAAAGCTGGTTTTATTCTCTGCTCTTTTAATTATAGAATATTCAGTCCACAAATTGGCAGACAATGAGATTTAAGCCCCCTCCTCCAAACTCAGATATTGGATGGAGAGTAGAATTTCGACCCATGGAGGTAAGACCCGTGCGTCATCAGGAACTGACTCGGAAGCACACTTCCTCTGACTGCCCATCACCCTTCTGATCCTCTCATCAGAAGGCCCTTAAACTTATTATAAGGCATAAAAATTAAGTATGTGCATGTTAAAAGCAAGTACAAAAGCTAAGGGGTACTGATTTCTGAGAATAGATGCAGGCAGAGGGCTTCCAGACCCAGATGGGGAATGAGGAGATGGCTTGGGAATGATATGACCCTGGGTAGGGACTGGGGTCAGAGAAGAGCACATTAACCTCTCTGGGCTTCTGCATGTCTAGGTCCAGTTAACAGACTTTGAGAACTCTGCCTATGTGGTGTTTGTGGTGCTGCTCACCAGAGTCATCCTTTCGTACAAATTGGATTTTCTCATTCCACTGTCAAAGGTAAGGATGTGTTTCGTTATAGTGCTTGGTATAGATATCTGGAGATGTATTTACTCATTTATATATACTATTTATTTCAAATCTGACTTCATTTAGAATTGTTCACCTATTAGAGTAAAATGCTTCTCTTTACCTTGTTCTTTTTTCCTTTTAAACCTAAGCTTTATTTCTAGAGGCTTTTCATTCAAGATGACTGGTGGCTGGAGGGAGTCCCAAATTGATTGTATCCACCCAAAAATCCCATTTTGGGTTACAGTGTTAAAATTAGAATGGGGAGGGGAAAGTGTAGCTGCTGGAATGCAGGGAGAGGCCTCTTCAGTAGAACCAAAACGAAGATGTTTCTGGAGAGTGTAGAGGGCACTGGACTACTAGAAAAACAAATCAGAGTTGATTAACCCCAGCCCAGCAAACACTAAAACAGGAGCTTTCTGGGAGAAGTTTCCCAGCAGAGCCTTGGAGCAGCTCCAGGCCATGAGGAAGGAAAGCTGTGGGCTGTGGAGCAGTAGCTGAGGAAGTAGAGGCCTTTGGTTCGTGGGCCAGTGGTCCACTTGACACAGAAAATGGCTGGGAAAGATGGCTAAGCAGAGTGAGGGTTCTGCTCAGTGGGTTCCTGCAGAGGGTTTTAGGGCCAGAGAAGGGAATAGAGCAGCCCTGTCACAGCAGACATGAAAGGAAGAATAAAACTGCTTAGCCCCAGGATCTGCCCCCAGGATACCTCCCTCCCTACTTCCTCCACAAGGGATTTGCCAGCCTGTGCCCATCCCCCCTACACCCACTGAAGGAAGCCTGGCTGTCGGCCTGTCTCTGCCTGCTCATCACACCTGGGCCAAAGGTAACCCACAGAATTCTGTGGGCCCACATTGTCCTCAGGGGCGTACCTACTGGGGAAGCCAAATCCATCTAAGGGAGAGTCCCTGTAAGCTACCTATCTAAGCCTTTGTTTATAAATATGGATCACTGTCTGAAGGTCAACAGAAAATTAACAACAGCTTTAAAGAGAAGGGTCCAGTTCATCCTGCAGAGTATATTACCCTCAGGGAAACATGGAAGATTCAAGAAACTGGAAAGAATGAACTCTTAAATTCTAATTAGTGCCCTCAAATTCTAGAGAAGGGTCACATCCATAAAATAAACAAGCACTATGGACCAAAACGCATTTGGAGAAAAGGAGTTCTTAGGAACAAGGGGCATGGTAGCCGTACTTTTAAAACTCAGTATATTCACCAGAGCAGATACTGCTGAAGATACGAGGTAGTGCTTTAGGAGACCAGATTAAGGTTCATTCCAGCAGGAGGGTAAAGAAATAGAAATTACGGAAAAACTGGTGCATGGAGAATTGCTTTGGAAAATTCAGTGTTTGTCTAATAATTTAGAAGAAAAAAATGGTCTGTATAGAAGTGATGTGAAATACGATAATCAAAGAAATAATGGAATTTTCCCTTAACATAAGGGTCCAGTAAGGATGAGAGAAATATTTAAAGAAGAACCCAAATCTAGGAATTTCTGAATTTCAAATAAAAAGAAAATCAACTGTCCAGACAGGAGAGAAAATTAGGATATGTGTCAAGGGGGAAAAAAATCAACTGATATTACTTCTCATGTACGACATTAAATGCTAGAAGAGATGGAAAGAAGTCTACAGAATCCTGAGGTAAAGAATTATAGCCAGAGAATTCTTTTTCTAGCCAAATTATTTAACTTCCAGGTGATTCTAGTAAAATTTAATAGATCAAGTTAGGGCTAAAAGTATGCCAGTGTCTTAGTTCATTCAGGCTTCTATAACAAAATACCATAAACTGAGTGGCTTATAAACAACTGAAATTTATTACTCACAATTCTGGAAGCTGGGAAATCTGAAGTCAAGGCAACAGAAATTTTGGTGTCTGGTGAAGGTCTGCTCTCAGGTTCACAGATGGCACCTTCTCACTGAATCCTCACAGGGTGGAAAGGGCTAGCCAGCTCTCTGGATCCTCTTTTCCAAGGATATTGTTCTCATTCATTGAGGGCAAAGCCCTCATGATCTAATCACTGCCCAAAGGCTACACCTTCTAAAACTGTCCCATTGGAGGTTAGGTTTCAGTGGATGAATTGGGAGGACACAGACATTCAAACCATAGCATCTAGCAGGGAGATACGGAACAAGATAAATGGTAGATTCCTTTAATGCTTGACATTTAGAGAGTGACAATTTCAAAACTACTTGTTTAAAAGTGATAGGCCGGCCCGTGGCTCACTTGGTAGAGTGCGGTGCTGATAAAAGTGAGGAAACCCCATACTGGCCAGATGCATAAAAAAAAAAAGTAAGGAAAACAATTAATAGTATAAAAATAGGATTTACTCCTTCTAAACTGCTAGCTAAAAGGGTGGAGAAATTAACAAAGAAAACTTCAGTACCATGAAAGTGGGTGTGGGCCAGGAGAGTGGTTAGCCAGTATAACCCACAGAACATGAAATGGTGAATAAAATGAAAACACATTTGAATAGACTAAACTCTCCTATCAAAAGGCTAAAACAGATCATATAAAATAGCAACATTATGGTTGTTGTTTGCATAGGACATACCTAAAACAAGGACAAATGCTGACAATAAAAAGCTACACAATGACCTTTAAAATGAATAGAAGGAAAGACAAAGTATTATTAGACAAAATAAAATGTGAGGTAGAAAGTATTAGATTGGATAGAGAAAGCAATTTTATATATTCTTCCAAGATGATCTTAGAGCCATGGTTCTTTTCGTACCATGAAGTGTAGCGACACTTCTTAGAACCAAGAGAAGAACTTAATATGGTGGGAATTTAATAGGGCTTTGATGTGAGATCAGAATGCAGTTGTACTACTTACTAGCTTCTTAACCTGCGCAAATTACTTATCTTCTTAGTGCTTCAGTCTCTACATGTAAATAGAGATAGGTGGGCTGTTGTGAGCCCATGTGGGCTTGATGGAGGTAACCTACTTAGCAGAGAACCTGGCATGTTGCTTAGTAACTGACAGGTTATATAATCAAAGGATGAGAAAGGCCGTAAGGGAATTAAATGATATATAGTTAATAAACTTGGTTGTATAGCCTGTATCACCAGTCTCATACCGTAGCACATCTCTTTTCAAATGCCCTGAGGAAGATTTATAAAAATTAATCAGGGAAAATCTTTACTTCTCAAAAGTAGACATCATACAAGATGTATCCACACCAAAATTCAACAAAAAGGTATTCAAGAGAAATTTAATTATTGGAAATTTAAAATATCTTTCCTAATAGGTTTTAGGTTAATCAAAACTAGAATTGTAGATTGTATAAGAAAGTGAATGGTAGGGGATGCTGGCAGAGCTAGTCTCTTAAAACATTTAAAGCTATGATTTTTTTCTTAACAAAAAGATGGAAAATAAACCTAAGTGGTGGAGAATCTAAAGAACAATAGTAAAATATACTTTTAAAAATAAGATAAAACTTAATGGTCTATGGACTTCTATCAAGACTAAGAAAAAAACCCATATACCATTGGAAATGAAAACATGTTCACAGCCGTGGTGGAATTTTAGACTGTTATTTATGTATGCTCCTAGAAGTGTCTGGATTATTCAGAAGATCTCATGTGTCTTTCAAAAAGCAAAACAAGAGCAAACAGGACTTCCCCATAGTGAGTACGGAGACAGGATAAGTAATCAAGAACGACTGTACCACCCATCCCACTTCAACCTGGCCCTCTACTGTCTATCTCATGTATTGAGGTTCCACATAAGATTTTATTATAGAAAGTAAGGGGCTACTACTAAAAAGTAGTACTTTATAAAAGTTCTACTTTGAGGGTCTTAAGAAGTCACTGGAGAAATGGGGGAAGTTTTTTGGGCTCACGAATGAGTCAGCAATAGTTAGAGCCACCAGGTGGACAAACAGCTTTGGTGACCCATCACCCTGAGGGCTGGAGCTTTATTCCACATCCGACAGCCTGCTCACTCACTCTCTGTCCTCACTAAAGTGAGTTGGAAAACCCCAGTGGCAGGGAGAGGAAGGCACTGACCTGAGAAGTTGGGAGGACTGAACTCTAGTAGTTACTCTGGGACCTTTGGTGAGCCACTGTGCTGTGTGAAGGGAACCACCACCTGCCCTCCCAGCACTGCAAAATTCAGTCACCAGGGTGCTTTGGAATGCAGGTGTCCTGCATAAGTTTTTGTTTTGTTTTCAAAGGTAAGTTTCTCTTAAAATTCCTCAACTGGTAGGTATTAAAAGGCATATACCAGTCTATGGTTGAGTGACACTGGCCCCACATAAATAAGTCTGTTACTGGCCCCACATAAATAAGTCTGTTCTGACCAGAAAGCATTGGAGGGGGAAGTAAAATTTCATGGGAGTGAGTCCTAATTGCAGAAGTAAGGAAAGCACTACAACTTCTGTGTTTGACCAAAAACATCTCGACTTAGTCATGATTCTTTTTCTTCCTTAGGTTGATGAAAACATGAAAGTAGCACAGAAACGAGATGCTGTCTTGAAGGGAATGTTTTATTTCAGGAAAGATATTTGCAAAGGTATTACGTGCTCTTGGATTTCTAGGGTCAGTATATGCTGCCACAAACCACTAAAGCTCCTCTGCCCTCTCCCCCGGCAGGTGGTAATGCAGTGGTAGATGGGCGTGGCAAGGCCCAGAATAGCACAGAGCTCACTGCAGAGGAGTACACCCTCATGAGCATAGACACCATCATCAGTGGGAAGGTAGGTCCTGTACATGTGTCTCGCTGTGCGCACCAGCTTGCAGGGAGTTCATAGTGTGTCCTGCTTTTGTAGGAAGGTGTGTTTCCTGGACTGATCCCGATTCTGAACTCTTACCTTGAAAACATGGAAGTGGATGTGGACACCAGATGTAGTATTCTGAACTACTTAAAGCTGATTAAGAAGAGAGCATCTGGTATGGTAGCCTTTTCTTTTTTTCATAATCTTGTGATGTAGGTAGGCAGAACCCCATAGTCTTACAATATTCAGTTTCTTAAAGTAGCCTTTTAAAGTGTACCATATTTTATCCATAAACACCTTTTCATTTTTCAAATGTATGTAGTTGGGTACACCTTATAATCTTTACCTTATATCTTATAAACAGTCGCAGTTTAAATTAGAAGTCCTTTTTTTCTTACTGCTTCATAAATTAGAGGTGCATCTTAAAATCGATGGCATCTTAGATGATGAAATTTGGTACCTGGATTGCCTGTTATTTATGTTCAGCTGTATTCATTGTATGTCATCGTGGGCTCTTTTATAGGGCTAAGTAACTCTGTAGGGTAAATACGCTGCACACTTAGGATGTCCGTTTGCTTCAGCCTCCCCTCTGTAAGAGAGCATCCTGAAAATCCCCTTTCTTTGTTAGTTTTAAGGAGATCACATTTATAGTGCCTAACAATACCCAGCAGAGTAGCATCTGCATTTACCTTGAGGCTCTGCAAATTTTCTGGAGTCACAGAAGATAGCTGTAGAACCCCACACATCATCACCAAATGGTGTTCCTGCCAGTTTCCCTCTTCATTCTCTGTGATTACTATTCTTTCTTTGTCCCACCTCTTTGATCAAAAATTACTCTAGGAACTCTACAGTCCTCTGAAGCAGTCTCATGACACCAGTGTATGTAGTCTAACCCTCTGGCCAAATGGGAGGACACATGCTCTTGTACACATGTGCTATCTCCTGTCCCTTAAGAGCTGACAGTGTCAGCATATGCGTGACATCTAACAGGTACCATAGAAACTGGATACATATGTTCTCATTGCCTGCCTGCCACCTAAAATTCTTCCCCAGGAGGAATTCTTCAAACACTGAAAGACATGTTGTTCCCAATACCTGCCATGTGGCTACACTAAAAGGTCATACTGATTTCTCTTCAGATCATGCTCATGCTGGGCACTAAATATCAACTTACTGTTTAAGCAAATTTTTTTTTACTATTAACCTAATTTTTTTTTTTCCCAGGAGAACTAATGACAGTTGCCAGGTGGATGAGGGAGTTTATCGCAAACCATCCTGACTACAAACAAGATAGTGTAATAACTGATGAAATGAACTATAGCCTTATTTTGAAGTGTAACCAAATTGCAAATGAATTATGTGAATGCCCAGAGTTACTTGGATCAGCATTTAGGAAAGTAAAATATAGTGGAAGTAAAACTGACTCTTCAAACTAGACATTCTGCAGAAAGAAAAACGTGTTACTGTTTTATTGGAGAACTAACTGCAGTGCTATGCCTCTCAGCCCATGTGTACAGTATGAAGACCAAATAATAGAACCGCACTGTTTCCTGAGCCAGTGGGCCAGAAATTAATTTAGAGGCTTCCTTCAATAGGTAAATTTAGAGTTTATACAGTGTACATGTACATAGTAAAGTATTTTTATGATTAACAATGTATTTTAATAACATTATATCTAAAGTCATTGTGAACTGGCTTGTACATTTTTTAAATCTTACTCTGGAAGAACTACCACCTAAGCAGTTTTGTAAATGTACTAGTAATTGTACAATACCTGCGTTCCAGAGTTTAAAATGTTTACTGTAAATTTTTGTTCATTTAAAGACTACCTGGGACCTGATTCACTGAAATTTATTCACTTTAAAAAACACATTTTCTCTTATTAATTTTCTTTGAGTCATCTCCTTTGTTGTGCATATAAAATCACTTGAATCCATTGAAGTATTTCAGGGATAATCTTGGATTTCTGGCACCTTATCTATGATGTTTATTTTGGAATTGGAATAGCTAACCACTTGGGAACCTTGCCCTAAGCTTTCACCATCAAATAAAATCCATTGAATTCTGATGGCTGTTATAAAAAGAACTTTCCTTTTTGTTTATTTGTTTAATTTGCTGCTTCAGCCATTTTAAGGACAACTCTGTAGGAAGAAAGGAGACTATTACTCAGAGTTCATATATAGTAATTATTGGGTGATTTTTTTTTTTTTTTAACTAAAACGGGAGGGGAATCATTTTTTTTCCTCTACATACCAAGAGTACTGTCAAAAATGGCATCAGCTCTTGTGTGATGGTCTGTTCTGATTGCTGCTGTATGCTTAAATTTGCAAATCAAATGCAGTTTTCTGAAGTTTTGTTATTCTTTCTCTAGTTTCCAGTAAGCATATTGATAGACTTTCTTCTCAAAGCCATTCACTCCAGTTTTACCTGGGAAATATCCTGTATACTGCTTACTTTCTCTATAAAACACAAATAAATCATGAAATGCACTAAGTTTTGTGAATCAGGACCTTAAATGTTTAATTGTAAATAATTTAAGTTTCAGATAATTGTTGCTATAGCTTTGTGTTGAAGTTTTGGGTTTTTTTCCCAATTAAGTCTTAACTGCTTCTGAAATAACTGTATTATAGAATGTGCAAAACTTTACAAGCATAAATATTTAAACTGCAATGCTAACTTTAAGAGATTGCAATAAAGCTTCAGCTAAACCTGACTGTTTAAATACTAAGGTTTGTTCTCTATTTCATACATGCATTTTGAAGGATTAAAGAACCCCTGTTTTTCATTGGCAATTTGCTTGTGTAAATCAGGTTGTAAAAAGGCAGACAAACTGTTTGTGGTATGAGGAAATAAAAGAATGGAATTAGCATTCAGAAAACTCTTTAATGTGTGTGAGTTCTACAACTAAGTGAATAGTAGTAGAGTTTTTCTATAATTAGCCCAGGTTCCGTGAAATTATTTCTTCATTAATGGGATCCTCACATGTTTTCAGAAAGAAGCATAGTGATGAAGAAAACAGATGTGTCATCTCCCTTAGCTAACAACCCCTGTGGGGAGGGGAAGGACGTGAAGCGTGGCTGAAATGACTGCTGCACCACTGCAAGTGAATTTTTCTTTTACTCCAAACTACTGGTGTGCTAGGTTGGTGGTGACATGGTGCATGTTGAGTGACTCAGGTGCAGTGTGTACACTGCAGTCTAAGCTCAATGAGTCCTGCAGAGCTGTTTCCATCCTGTCTTTGGATCAATATCCACCCCCACTCACCACCACCACCCCCACACACACAGTGCATAGAATAATGTTTATCTGGGCAATATACTTTTCTCAGAGCTCTAACTTCTTACCTGAATGATCCTAGGGCATTGCTTAGCAAGTCGTAATCTGCATCTGAATTTCTGGGGGGGTCTTATTCTGGCTCAGTAAGTCTGGGGTGGGGTCCCCATTTCTGCATTCTCACAAGCTCCCAGGTGATGCTGATGCTGCTGGTCTGCAGGCTACATGAAAAACAAGGACTTAGGTCATTTTCTGTACCTAAGTTGCAGAAAAATCAATTTTAAGTCTCAAATAACAGTTGCCTTTAATTCTAACGTGAGGCGTCTAGACTTTTCTCTTACTAAAAAACTGGGTAATGTTACTTTCTCCAGAACAGAGTAAGCCCCACAACTTTTATGAGATTTACCATCTGAATGTAGCTGAGAATTCAGGGTTTGGGGAACAGAGCTAGAAACATTGAAATCAGCAAAAAGTGGTTTCTTCTTGGTAGAAATACCTGTGGCCAAGCCCAGACTCTCAGACCCTCACTTAGAACACTACTGACTGTTAACCTGCTTCTAACCCAAAGTACAGTTTCCTACCCATAAGTTTCCTGCATTAATAAGGGGTTTCCTTCTGGTCCCAGGATGCCTCTGCCACTCAGCTCACTTCTGAGGCTATTTGTGAGCCTTTCCATTTAGAAATGGAAGGACTCTGCCTTGGCCACTTCCTTCTAAACCATCACCTGATACAAAAATTAGCCAAGAGATGTGTGGTAATCCAGGATGTGGCATGGATAGGCCATGTCTCTGAAGAGTTAATCGGTGATTCCTTGGGGACCTGAAGCCTTGCAAAAAGAAAAGGTGGAAAGATGCTTCAAGCTGCTTGCAGTGCTGACACATGGGGGAAGGAAAACGGTGAAGTGGGCCTGTGATGCCAGGGCCTTTCAAAGCTCAACTAGATGAGGGGCCCTTCTCAGAGCTGTAAATGTGCTGCTTAGTTGCACAGTTTTCAGAGGTCTTGCTAGTGAGCTTTCCGTTTAGGTTAAAGCTTCCCCACTTTCCCTGAAGATAAGCCACTTAGTTCTACCAGCTGCTCTCTCTCTCTCCATTATGCATCTGTGTAAATATTTAGCATTCCCTGTAAACACCTCTGGAAATACGTGCCAAGTGACATATAGAAATGTGTAAGAAGGTGTCTCAGTTCAGGCTACTAAAACAATACCATAGACTAAGTGACGTAAGCAACAGACATTTATTTTTCACAATTCTAGAGGCTGGAAGTCCAAAATCAAGGTACTAGCAGATTCAGTTCCTGGTGAGAGATCTGGTTTGCAGACAGCTATCCTCTTCCTGTGCACTCACAAGTTGAAGAAAGATCATCTCTCTGTACCTTTTCTTGTAAGGGCACTAATACCATTCATGTGGGTGCAACCATCATGACCTGATTATCTGCCAAAGGCACCACCTCCAAATACCATCATGTTTGAGGTTAGGCTTCAACATAGGGACTCTGGGGAGATACATTCAGTCCATAACAGAAGGGAATTGGTGAGGCCTGGACTGGAAGTGAAGGGACCTTGGAGGGCAGTCTTGGCTGGGAAAGATACACCCCTCAGAGTGTCACATTTCCTTGGTAAGCAGAGGCTGAAATAGGCTATAATTCCTAAAGCCCCTTTTCACTGTTAACAGTCTATGAAAGCTAAGTATGGAAGATGCATTTTAAAAAGAACAATGGACTATGTATCAGTGATAAAAAGAAAGCTGTTACATACAACACATGGATGAATCTCACAAATGTCATGTTGAGTGAGAGAAAGAAGCCAGATAAAATAATGTGTACTTTATGATTTCACTTGCATGTTCAAGAACAGGCAAAGCTAAGTGGCAATTACTGAAGTCCCACTAGTGGTTACCTCTGGGTTGGAGTGAACAAGTACTGACTGGAAAGACAAATTTCTGGGTTGCTAGACATGTTCTATATCTTAATCTGGGTGATGATTCATGGGTATAAATGTTTAAAAATCACTAAGCTGTACACTTGAGGACATTTTACCTCTTTTGTTTGTTATACCTCAAACAACAACAACAAAAAAAACTTCAAAAAGAGAGGGGGGAAAGGAACTTTTTAAAAAATTTATTTTTACATTCAAAGATGTTGCAGAGAAGTGAGGGAGGGGGAGGGGGACAGAGGTGTGGGGGAGGCAGGGCTGGCCCACGGCCCACTCCTTTGCTGGCCTGGTTGTGGATGGGGGGCTGTGGCTGAGGCCCACTAGCACTCTGGCTCAGGAGCCTGGGGGACTTCCAGTGGTGGGTTGGTTAGTGCCAGCCTGGATGCAGATGTGGTGGGTATGGGACTGAGGCCCTTGGCGTCCCCCTACCCCAGCTTGGGAGCCTGTGGGGCTTCTGTTGAGGTTCAGTTGTCACTGGGCTGGATGTAGACTTCTGGGGGATGTGGCTGAGGCCCTTGGCCACCCCCAACCCAGCTCAAGAGCTTGGGGGGGCATCTGTGGTGGCTTAGTTATCACTGAGCTGTATGCAGACATGGGTGGGGGGAAAATGGCTGAGGCCCTTGGGCCTCCCTCACCCTGGCTCAGGAACCCAGGGGGTTTCTGGCTCTTTTATGTTTTATAGGTGTTCTTTGGTGGTGTTAGACTTTTACTGTTTAATATCAGAAGTTTGTCTCTGATCTGTGGGTGTTTTCTTTCACTTCTGTGTTGGATTATTAGCTACCCCCACCACTTAAACTCTGCACTGGAACTCATATGTTGGGTGGTGTTAGACTTTTACTGTTTAATATCAGAAGTTTGTCTCTGATCTGTGGGTGTTTTCTTTCACTTCTGTGTTGGATTATTAGCTACCCCCACCACTTAAACTCTGCACTGGAACTCATATGTTGTCCTTTGCTTACTTCTAAAATGGGGGAACTTCCTGTGGGAACCAGCACTTGAGCCCTGTGGTTGAGCTAAATTGCTGCTTTGCTGCTGATTCTCTGGCGAAGACTTTTCTGTGCAGCTCAGGTTTTAATTGTTGACATTGTAAGCACTTCCGAGTCTTGTGAGGTTTATACCTGGGTTGTATGGAAACTGGTCTGGGCCTGAGTCTTTTCATTGAACTGCACTCCCTGCAGATCTATACTCATGACAAGTCTACACGGAGTGGGCCTGTGCTATTGGAGGGCAGATCAGCTGTCCATGCTGTGCCCCAATGTTCCCCCAGTGGTCTGCCTCCTCCACTGCCCTCACTCCAAACACTTCCCATGGGGTGGGGCACTGGTCCTGTGTGCTGGTCCCTTGCGATGACTCACCAGCCTCTGAGTAGCTCCTTTTTTCAGTTGTCTTTGACCCTTCACTCCTGTGTGGGTCCACAGGAACCCTATTAGCGGTCTTGCTGGCCTGGGGGCCACCAAGGCCCTCTTCTCCCCTGCAGCCTCCAAGCAACTTCACACAAAGGGAACGGCAGTGGCTTTTGCCAGCTCTTGCTCCATATGCTCACCAGGGCCAACCTTGAAGTGGCTGGGGCTCAAAATGGTCGGAATGGTCCTTTCTTTCTCTCATGGTGACTTCTGCTTTCATGAAATCCATAGGTCTCTCCTCCTCTTCCCCTGAGCTCTAGCGGCCCCAGATTGGCTGTCATTGCTTTTTAGTAGTTGTAAATTGGTCAATCGTGGGAGAGAATGACCCTGGAAACTGTCTATTCCACCATCTTGATTTCCATGGCCCAGAAAACAACTACTTCAATTAAAGTTTAGGAACCATTACAAACTAGGTCACCAAGAGACAGGCTCAAACCCAGTCTGTGTGTCAGCATCTGAATCACAGCCCTCAACTGGACACCGTGGTTCTCCAAAGTGAACACACACACGGGTCACTCGGCTACTGCTCAGGTGAACCTGGGGGATAGGAGCAGGGCACGATCAGCTAGAGATTGCGAATTTTCCCTCTTTCCAACCCAAAAGTTTGCGCAAGAACCTCCCGCCTGAAAGACAAGGCTCTCAGGGAATTGTTAGCACGGTGAAGTGTTTTGCGTAGAGTACGGCAGCCCCAGCGCCCCCGAGAGGTGGAAGACGCGCCCGTCCCCTGGGGACCCCCAGGCCGGGCTCCACGCCCCTGCCCCGGCGGCCGCAGCCTCCGCCCGCGACCCACGCCAGCACGGCCGCCGCTTCGAAAAGAAACTTTTCCGAGCAAGAACTAGCTCTATGCCAGTGGCGTATGTGCTGAATAACTATTTTTATATCCTTTTGAATACATTATGCTTTCATCATGACATCTTACTGAAAGCAGCTTAAAAGCTAACCTCTCAATCAAAAGTGTGGTTTGAAGTTCCTAGGAAGTTTCTCAGGACTGCGTTCCAACAGGTTCAAGTCCTTCTAGCACAAAAGCAAGAGTACAGACTTGAGTTCAAATCCTATTTACACACACTAGCTGGGTGACTTTAAGCAAGTGACATAACCTCTTTCTATGCCATCTGTAATACAGAATACTTCACAGATTTGTTGCTATGAGGTGGAAATGAGGTGACGCACATAAAAAGAACGTACATAAACTGGGTTCAGGCAAGCTACTTTTACTCCCCACTCTGCCTCTTGCCTACACTTGGATGCAAGTGACAGAAAATCCCCACACCA